TTTGTATAGTATATTGTGCATAAAGGATGGGAAGTATGAATCATTGCATTTGTAGGTAAAGTATTCACATTACCCTAAAATTGAATTTTCGTACCCGCACAAGACACACATAATTTTATGTAATCATGGTAATCTATAACAGTTCTTGCTATAGTCAATATTTTTTAAATTCACCAAGTTATTTAATCAAATAGCACAGGATTAATCCGCCAACCAGCAAAATTTGAAATACTATACAAAATGTAATATATAGATACATTTATGGTAAATTAACCTGATTTTGACAATACAATTTTCGATCGCTGACTATCAGGGACAGAAAAATGTATATATTATCCACTAAACGGAAAAAGTTAATTTCCAAAGACTTCAGCCGGCATTGAAAATTAAACATTTGGCTTATGTTATTCTCATACTTGATAATTTAATAATTAATATCTCCGATCACGTCTACTTATTGGCTATTGCATATTGCTAAAGTAATTACTTGCATTTTTTTCTATTTTTACTTTTTGTAATCTATTGTGCATTAAACACATCGACTCTACATTTACTATAAAAATGTCATTGATACTTATTGAAATAATAACAAAAATGTTCTTAATTTTACCATGGGCTATATAATATAGTTATTTGATATCTTGCTATAACACCTATTAAGTAAAATATAATAATATTACCTATTATTTTCCATAAATTTTACTTCTATTTTTTCACAAATAAGTTTAATGAAACCACATGCAATGGATACGTTCAATGAACAAGATGTTGTTATCAATTTAAAACTACTTAAACAACTTCATTTCTACCAAATATTTGATTCTAGAGGAACAAAAATGTTTGGAATGAACATTCGACAGCATTTTTTACATTGTGTACGCTGTCATTAGCTATGCATTGAATGTTACGGAGTTTCTAGTACATTTTCTGCCAAGTGTAAATGTGTTAGCAACATTGATTATTTTCTACTTTTCTACACAAGTACTCATGTTTATCTATCCTTTTGGAAGTTAATCAAATGCTTGAACGACAAGGACAGTATTTTAAAACTATTTAAAATTACAAAATTCACTTATACGTATTATATTTAGAGATTAAGCCTCCGTAATAGTCTCCTTATATCCACCTAGAAATTAAAATGTATTATTACTTACAAATACAAATTTTAATTCAGTATCTATAAAGTTAAATACATCTTCATAAGTTAATATTTTGATAAAATACATTTTTATCAAAGTCAAAATTTAATAACAATTTTTTTAGTTAAATTATTCTATATTTTTATCATAGAATATTTTAAAAAATTTAAAGAAATTCTACAAGATCAACTACAACTCAATTTGTAAGTATTTTTTTTAGAAAAACCACAACTTAATGTGGGTATGTAAAAATAAATTGCAACAGTCAATAATCTTGTTCAATTTAAAAAGAAAAACATTTAAAACAATATATTGAAATATTTTACACACAATAAAGAGAAAAAAATGTTACGCGTTACACCTACATATGTTTATATCCAAATAGATAAAATGTAATATTAACTTACTTTTACACCCAGTTTAAGTTTATTCCTTAATATTGTATTTGATACTATTTTTATTGTTATTATTTTTGGAAGTTTTTAATATTGTAACATCACATTATTTTTAATTATTTAACGTTTTGATATGTAAAGAACCGAATTAACATTTCCTAGAATACTCCTAAGTCACTTCACTTTCTCGACTTAATTATAAATTCTTCTAACATACAAATCAGTCATGAGAAATTTGATTTGTAAATAAATTTTTAAAAAAATGTCAACAAAATATTTTGCTTTTGAATATGAAATTCATAAGTATGCTATACTTTAAAAGTAGCAAAATTATAATGAAAAAATATTTTATTATTTAAAATTTTATTCAAAAATGTGTTCTTAATTTATTCAAAAAGATAAAACAAAAAAAGTTATTCACGAATAAATGATTTTTGAAATTATAAGTAGGTATCTACTCGCTGTTAGAAGAATTGCTCAGATATAAATAATTTTTTTTTTCAGGAAAATAAAATTATTTTACTCTATTATGATACCAACGATTCTATTGAGCATCGCAATCTATTCATTCTATTTTATAGTCTTGAACTCTTGACGTAGGTACCTACTTGTTCATTTTGGTATATTTTTTTATTTAAACTTATACAATTATATTTACCCAATGTATGTAATCGATAACATAGAAAATATCGTTGATAAATTGAAAATATTTTATTCAAATGAATGAGCTAATTGTAGATACCTAACCATTATAATCATTGCATCATTAACAATAAAACAGATATGAATTTTATCATTTTGTCATGTATTATAATTAAAAACAATTTCTTACAAATAACAAAAAAATGATTTAAAATAAAAGTCACACTTTGAAATATTGTTTTTGATGTTTTGTGAAACAATCAAATAAAACATTAGTATAACTTGAACAATTTACAATAAAAATAAATATATTGTTGGGCAATATATTTTTATCCAAATATTGTTTATTTATTTATTTTTTTTTACCAGAAATACGTCTTTAAATCTATGAAATATAAATAAAATTACTATAGTTTTTGACAAAATATCAATATTAATTTAATTTAAAATATAAGATTTAGATTCGATGTTATTACTTTTAGGTGATACTTATAAATGTCGAATAATTAATTTGTAAGATATGTTATAGGTAATTACCAGTAAAGTAAAATTATATTGATCACCAATTCTTCTAATATTTACTTTATAGTACAGCAAGAATAAACAATTTAAAATTATTAAAAGGCCAATTCTTAGAACTTTAAAGTCTAGCAGGTTAGAGGGTATTGATAAGAAAAAAAGGTCAATAACATTTAAAATTTACAATTATTGACACTTCATTTTTATATTTATTTATTTATATTTACAACATGTATGTTGAAAAAACCTAATAAAATAAATTACAAATAAAGCTAAAATTTAATAATCATTTGAAAATGTAACACAGATCTGACATAAAAAATAAACAGCCTACCAGTAACCCACATCTTTTATACAGTATATACCCACAAAATAATGTTGTTTAGTGTTTAGGATTATTAATTATTTTTATTCCTATAATACATTTCTTCTGTGTATTATAATTTGGGTTTGGTAAATAAAAAATTAGATAAGTATTCTAAAATAGTGAGAATGGTGAATTGAGGTTTACTTAACAATTTTTAATAGCTGAGTAACATCTGTTTTAGGAGTATTGTCATATTAACATTGTTGTGTCTTGATTTTCAAAAAATATTGAATCAAGATTATTTTTATTTAATTCATCAATTGTATTATTTTGTTAGGTATTTATAGTTGATACTTAATTTAGCAAATTTTTTTAATAAAAAATAAATAAAATTAAACTATTTCAATTTAAGTTACAATGGTTTTAAATTCAATTTTTTTATTGGCATTAGTTTAAGAGCTCTAGAAAAAAGCTAAATTAATTATTTTTTTAATTTATAAAAGTTTGCATTAGTTTTATTATTTGTAAGCAATTAATTAGTTATCAGGTATTGTTAATAATTTTTACAAGATATTACCTAATTTTTATTGCATTTTATATAGCGTCTTGGAGGGCGATAAGGAGGAATGATAACTGATAAGGTGACACATGCAATATTAAAATAAATAAATAATTTTTTTACGATGTGATATAAAAAACAGAAATTATAGTAAGTTTATTATTTTTCGCTGCCCCTCCCCCCTGAGAAAAATTTCTGCGGGCGGCCTTGAATGTACAAAATTTTTTTTCTTAAACAACATCATATATAATTAATTTTAGCAATATCTATATAATAATTTCATCAGTGCCTAAAGTTTCAAGTATGTTAGTAGGTTTATTTTATGTTGGTGAATTTTAGTGCCTTAATAATACACAAATATTGTTTAATCACTGATTGTATGGTACTTTACAATTATGAATCTGCTTGACACCAGAATTGGAAACAATCTTAACTTTTATTAAAATTGGGCGATAAATTATCTATATTACTTTGTGGTTATTCATTAATTGTTATCTGTTTAATAATATTAACATACAAGTATAAAGATTATTATAACATTAATAAACATAGACTTGGTTTGGTAATAATTAGCCTTTATATAGAGAGAACTAGTTAACTTTAGCATACATACTTGTAATTGGGTAAAAATGAATTTAAAATTTAAGAATTTGTCTTTATTAATAATGCGAATGAATGATGCTAATAAAATGGCAATAATAGCTTCATCAAAAAAATCATCTACTTACAACTATTCGCTAACGCATTAATTTAGTTTTATTTTTCAAATAATTTAAGTAATTACAAATGTACAGTTTAAACACAATACCTAACTAAATTTGATTAACTTCAGGTTATGTCAACGTCCTTCAACGTGGTCCCCATACTGTTGAAAATCACTAACTCAGAAAATCACAAGTCACAATAGACTTAAACTTAAGACATTATATCACCACAATATTTATGCTATAAACCATTAAAAAAAATTAAATATTTCATAATAATAACAAATGTTTAAAATATTTTACAATATTATATTATAGTATAAAAGAAACTAACTACAAAATCATAAATAAAATTTATATCAGTAACTCAAAACTAGAAGAAAATAGTTAAACTAAAAATAATATCTTATGATTAAAAATATATACAATGTTTACTGTTCACAAATTTGTAATTCAAATCCATAGACAATAAAATAAACGATGAACTCTTAAAAACAAATGTCCAATTAAAATGTAATATCATTGGTGGTAATTGTATCAATAATAATTATATTATTGAGTACTGAGTACTATATGTTAAGATTATGATGTCTATTGTCTTCATCGTCTTTTACAATTTAAAAACCAAAGTATAATATAAAAAAAAAAAACATAATTTATTCTTAATTTTAAATAGGTCCACGTAAAAATTAATTTAATTATATGATGTTAAACCAATGTGTCATTAAAAATATATTACTTATCTCAGTACAATCTTAAATTTAAATAATCATAATAATGAATAGTTTGGTTTAAAAGTACTTTAAACTTAAGTGAATTTAGTTTAAAATTAAAATAAAAGCTGTTTCTATAATATACTATAGAGTAATAATAAATCCTTTGTTCCATCTAGCAAGTTGTATTTTATCTAGGCATAAAATAATATTTTTATATTTATAAGGGTAAAAAAAAGAAATAAAATCATACATAAACTAAAAAGGTATACCTGTTTGCAGGATACTGACTATTTATTATTTAATAAAATATATTAATTTAAATTAAGGAATAAGCATTTGAACATATGAAAATTATTTAATAAATTACCATAAACTATAATCAGTGTCTTCTTGGTATAAGGTTAAGAAAAATCCTATAAACGTTAAATACACAACTATGTTTCCACACAATGTAAAATTACAGGCTGTCCATGCAATCTAAAAACAGTATAATTGAGTTAGAGAAAAAAATTTATTTTGAAAGTAACATAAACGTTTCAAATTAATTAAAACTTACAGCATTAACTCTGGCCATTATTATAGGTAATGCAAATGAAGACACTACTATACCCATTGTAATAAATACAGCTAAATCCATATTGGCATTGCCGGATCCTGAGTAATCATTGAACCGTTTCATCAACATAGTCGGTAATGGTGCCAACAAATAAAATATCACTACTATGAATGGCCACCAAGAACTAGAACAAATAAATAAGGTATATTTTTAAGAAAAATTAAGTTACTTAACATAGAAAAGTAATAAATAATAACCTAATGACTTACTTTAAATCTGGCAACGCACATGCTAATATGACTAATGTCATACCAATAGATCCAGCAAAAGCTAAGCTCATCAAACTGTAAAAAAGTATAATAATTAAAATTAATGAATCTGATCAAAACACAATAATTTTAATATGAAGTGCTCACAGAGCATAAAAACCAATTTCAAAACAACACATTTTCATTTAATTTTTCTCAATTAATATTAATCTATTATTTTTAATTTCATAATAAAACTAATAACTTACGCTATTTAAAATCAAATTGTGGTGACCACGGAGATCATGAAACAAAAAAAAAAAAATATATTAATTTATATGTTATTAATAGTTAATTTAAAAATCTATAAAAACAAACACAATATACACTTATTATGCTTGTAGTAATAACATCACACATAAAATATACACTATGATCAATTAAAAATACAATATTTCATACTATTTAGTTCTAACTTTTAGTTTCTATTTTATAATTTTGAGTATAACCATTGATTTTATAATAAACATAAATTACAATATATACCTAAGTATTATAAAATTAATATTATAACAATAGAAAGATCATTTAAAATTATGTATACTATAGGTACTTTATTTGTTTAAGTAGTTAGTAATAATAGGTACCAGTATTCTAATTTTCAACACAATTCTAAAAAATTTTAATTAAAATATGAAAGATATGAAAAATGTATATTTGTTTTTTTCTAATACTATTTGCTACTAAAGAATAGTTATGTTTCCATGCTGAGCTTTAGATCAGCTCTCAAAATTTTAAATGATAACTATTTTTTAATATAAGAAATAAATATTCAAAAATTATAGTAACCTAATGTAAAATAGATTATAAGCAAATGTTTTATCTTTAAGCATCTCCTTGACACTATTACTTTTAATATGCAACAATCAAGCACAACTAAATAAATAAAATAAAGATAATATAATTATTAAGAGAAGTATGATCTATAAGTATGTATTGTGGATAAGGATAATACATTTTTGAAAAAGATAGGTGAAAGTTAGTAGAAATTAATATGGTTTTGGGAAAAGTAGTCAAGAAAAGACAAGACATATAAGAACTTGTAATAATACTAGAAACCACTATCATACTCTACACACATAACACAACTCAGACTTTGGTCACTCAAACATCCTAGCAAAAGATCTAAATAATTTTTTATTTCCTGGTTTAAATTGTGAACCAGATGGATATTGCTTCAGCATTACTTCTACCCGAATATACAATATATATATAATGTACACAAGCGACATACGACAAGATTATTAAATTAATATGGTATGAGGTAATTTCTTAATTTATTTAGTGAAACAGTCAAGACTTTTTTATGATTTTCCTACCAAAAGATAAATTCTGTCATCGATATGATATGTGCCCATACTGGCCATACTTGATAATAAATGTGCAATGATTTACAAATAATATAATTTCGATATCAAGGTCACTATGAGATATGAAGTATAGATTACTTTATACATTTCTAAAAATATAAAATAAAATAATAAATATTTAAAATTTGTAAACAAAACACTTTTGTTTGATAATTGTCTTAGTATAATATAGTATAAGTAATGCATGTGTAATGTGTAGTGTGACTTATAAAATATATAAAATGGTCGAAAAAAATTTTGTGGTGGAGAGGGTTGTAATCCCTAACTCCCCTTTGGATACGCCACTGCTTCCAAGACTAAAAAAAATAGGTGTAACAACCTTTTCCCATAACCTTACCCTATAACTATTATCCAAGAGTGTGCTTGATAAAAGCGGCTTCCCCCATAAAATCTTCATGTCAAACCAAACTATATTATCATTTAAGCTTATTATACAAAAAACTATATACATTCTTTAATCTAACTGAAAAAAATAATAATGAGCAAAATCTGAGAAGTAATTACAATTTAAATAAAGCATCACTAAGTAACACCCTGGGTCAATACTGAGTTTTATTTCACACATTAGCTATCAACAACATATTTTTAATATTAAAGATGAATAGTAGATGATATTTGACCATACTCCAGTAAATAAAATTGGACTGCACCAATTAAAATACAGGGGCAGATTTCTCATTAGGCACTGTAGGCAGCTGCCTAAGACGGCAAATTTGATAGTGTTTTATTAAAAAATATCAAACTTAAAAAAAAAAAAAATTAAAAATTAATTACTTTATATTTACGAAAAATAATTAATAATGTGTGTATTTATTTTATATTTTTCTATATCGTATATGGTATACAGTTGTGGTAACTTGTTCAGTTGTTCACCTATTATAGGGACAGCAAATTTTTGGTGCATATAGCCGTAAAAAAGATAAATCTACATCTGTTCAAATATACTATGTTACATAAATATAACATATTAAATTATATTACTATAATTTATGTATTTATTATTTTGTACAGTCTTAAATGTTTTGATACATTTTGGTTTTAAATTAATATTTTTAACTGTTGGTATTTTACCATGAATATTATTTACAGAACTTATAGATAGAAATAACACATTTAATTATCATAATTTTGATGTTACCTTGAGTAACAACTAAAAATATTTAAATCGGATAAAAAAGTATTTATTATTTTAACTTTTTAAATGAAGAAAGAAATAATTCACCATGTAATTTTAAACATTTTAAATAACTACCTAAGTGGTCATTCAATTTTCATAAATATTTGCATGAATAATTTAATATTTAACTGAAATAATTGATTAAAGAATTTTGAAAAATGTTGATAACCTTTAAATAAATTAATACAATACTATCAAATTGATAAGTAGTGTTTAACATTATTCATAAATATTTTTTAATTTTATATAATTGTAATTTATCTAATAATAAATACCTAGCGCATTATATCATGCTAACTATTTCATCCAAATTTCTCTAAAACTCCCACATTATTTTAATCATAGATCTTGCCTACAAGAAACTATAGTTTTATTATTAATATTTTATTAAATTTTCAATATATCACTTTTTATTATCGCGTTCTTTAAAATGTGTATGTTAATTTACTTATAATACATGTACAATGTAATATTGAAGTATTATGGCGCCTGCCATAGTAAATATTTGTACACAAAATGGCTAGTGATGAACTATACACAAATTAGAGTAATGACAGTATTAGTGATGATTAGGACTCTAATGGTGCAACACCACGCCTTTGCATCGTTATCATTCATATTTGCGCACAAAAAGGCAAATAGTGTCATTGACAACAATATATCGCACCGCTTGTGCGTTTAGCTTTTAATCCTGCCATCGTGAACGAATATGTCCGACGTAGCGGTCCGAGAAGCTTACGGTGATTGACGACAAGTAGATGTGCGTGACTTTAATGATATTTTATCGTGACATTCGTTATTATAATATAAATTATACGGCGACTGGTCAATGGTATCAAATAAAATACGTATATGGTTTATGTTTCAATAATGATTTAGATACTTAAAATACTTATCGTAAAGAAAATAGAAAAAATAGTGCGAAACAAACAACAATAACAATGAAATACGTCGTCCGTCGTTCAAGATCTACGAATAATATTTACGTTAGACAAAAGAAACTAGAATCGACAATCCGACTATAAGTTTTTGAGATATATAAGAACAATACTATAATCTACAATCAACATATTATCACATATTTAGACCAGACGTCGTTATCTAAACGTAAACATTTTGATTCGCATTATCAGCGGGCGGCACGAGTACAGTGTCGTCGTTTGTGTTCGACATTACGTGTTCGGCTGTGTCATAACCTAATGGACATGCTGAACTTAACTGCTAATTGACTAACGAACTAACGGGAGAAACGCCGTCAGACGAGCAAATGGTATTAACTATAAATAAATTAATTTATTGAAATATTGAAATTTGATGGTCGACTTGTATTGCAATTAGTAATTACTCCATACAGAGACCCGGCCGACCGCGGTTGGTACGACCGTTTTTCGGCCGCCATCTTAGGCCACGGCATGATTGTGCTTTTTTTGATTTCCCGGTCCCTACCGCCACCACTGCCGCAACGAACCACTGAATTACACATTTACAGACATACACACACACACAAACGTACCAACGGCACAGTGTCTCATATCGACACACACACACACTCACATTCGAGTAATTCATAACGAGTATTGTTGTCTGCTTTTGTGACTTTGTGTCGCCGTGTTCCGTTTTTATTATTCGTCAGAATCACCTAATACACGTATATAAATATACGGAACTCATCATTCGTCTTACGTTATTCGAACGGACCACTGTACGTGGAATAGTCACCGAAATCGTCGATCTCTGTGTCCAGTTTGCCCATTAATTTCGGCGTAGACAGTTTTCTAAAGTTTAAATCGAAACCTCGTCGCTCGTTCTATAATCGACCAGCAATAATGTCTGAACCAGCGAAAGGGTAAGTAACAAAAAAAAAACCGCCCTCCTTCGATAAAATCCTCATTCCGAATTCGTCTCTAATCCGCACCTCTTTGTGTCGATATTTTTTTTGTGACTTAGCATATCTGTATTGTCAATACTTGTAGCGATTATGAGGACTAATAGTCTTGATGAAATTATGGCCATATTACACCAGGAACAATCCGAAAATCGCTTACACTGTATACGGAAATACAATTTCCACGATGGTGATGATATGCACTTTGTCGTCTAACCACTTCCACATACATGCACATACATGATCCAAATAAATTATTTTATATGTCCATCTCGAAAAAAATAGTATTAAAACCTAAATCATATTCTTAATTCCAAGTCTAGGATAAATCTTATACAGTACATTAATATACCTAAACAAAGGAGTGGGTAATTACATATCTGAATGAGGTTGATTTGGAATTAGTTTTTTGTTCTTGTGCTAAAAATATACAACTTAGTATTTTTGCCATGTCATGCTAGTGGCTATACCTATCTTTTTGTTAACTAATCTTAAATATTCATGAATTTATTTTTAACAATATTACTTAAAAATATAAATAATTGAGTATTTTATTTCTATTTAATTAATCATAAACATTATATTGGTAATTTCTTCATCTATTAAGATATTATTTATATCCATTTAATGCATGTCTTATCAATTTAAGATAATTTTAGCATTAAAATAATTAATTAATGTTGATAAGTACTTTCAACAAAGTTAAAACTTTAGATTCCTTTAACTAAATGCCTACTTTTTTGTTTAAAATCATTTTAAAATATACCTAATTACTACATTAATCTTTTGAAACATTTATATTTATTATAAACACTTATGATGTGTATAGATTGTAAATAAATAATAAATAATTTTAAAATTATAAAAACCATTATGATTTTTATTAATATTTGTTGTCATTTTTCAAATTTATTAAAATATAGACTTAAAATAATAAATATTTCAATTGTACATTTTTTACTTCTTTCTGAAAAAATGTTGAGTCCCTAAATGTATTTGATGATATTAGGGTTAACCCCAATCAACATTAATTCAAGTATACTTTTTTTTACATAATTAATAATAATTGAATTTATTATACTTATTTTTAGCGAGGAATTAGCCACTGCAATTTTGAAGCAAAAAGATCGTCCAAATAGGCTCATTGTGGAAGAAGCAATCAATGATGATAACTCAGTCATTGCATTATCTCAGGTATCTACAAATAAACTATTATTAGTTGTAAAAGAAATGTTAACAAAACTTCTTATTAAAATCAAGTTACTAGTATTGATTTTAAATAAATGTATCTAAAAATTAAATATGGTGATTTTTAATTATTATTTATTTTGTTTTATATTTCAGGCTAAAATGGATGAATTACAACTCTTTCGTGGAGATACTGTGTTACTAAAAGGCAAACGCCGTAAAGAATCAGTTTGTATTGTATTATCTGATGAAACTTGCCCAGATGAAAAAGTACGCATGAATAGAGTTGTGCGTAACAATTTACGTGTCAGAATATCAGATATTGTTCAAATACAACAATGCCCTGATGTTAAGTATGGTAAACGTATTCATGTGCTTCCAATTGATGATACTGTAGAAGGATTAACTGGGTAAAATTTACAAAACCTGTACATATCTATTTATCTCTATTAACAATTCAAATTTTTTTTTAGAAATTTGTTTGAAGTTTTTCTTAAACCATACTTCTTAGAAGCATATAGACCTATACATAAAGATGATAATTTCATTGTCCGTGGAGGCATGAGAGCTGTAGAATTCAAAGTCGTTGAAACTGATCCATCACCATATTGTATTGTTGCTTATGACACAGTTATTCATTGTGAAGGGGATCCAATCAAAAGAGAAGTAATTTAAATTTTTTTTACCTTAGTTACCTTGCCATAAATCTTATAATTCAATTAAATACTTTAGGAAGAAGAAGAAGCATCAAACACAGTTGGTTACGATGATATTGGAGGTTGCCGCAAACAATTGGCACAAATAAAAGAAATGGTTGAACTCCCACTCAGACATCCAAGTTTATTCAAGGCTATTGGTGTAAAGCCACCTAGAGGAATTTTGTTATATGGACCTCCTGGTACTGGAAAAACACTCATTGCCCGTGCTGTTGCAAATGAAACAGGGGCATTCTTTTTCTTAATCAATGGTCCTGAAATTATGAGTAAACTCGCTGGAGAATCTGAAAGTAACTTAAGAAAAGCTTTTGAAGAGGCTGACAGAAATTCTCCTTCCATTATTTTCATTGATGAATTAGATGCTATTGCACCCAAACGTGAAAAGGTAATTTGATTAAAATATTTTAAGTTAATAAATCATCAATTAAATAAATATACCTATGAATTATTTAGACTCACGGAGAAGTAGAACGTCGTATTGTATCTCAATTGTTAACACTCATGGATGGGCTAAAATCTTCATCTCATGTCATTGTAATGGCTGCAACTAACCGTCCAAATTCTATAGATTCAGCTCTTAGGCGTTTTGGACGCTTTGATAGAGAAATTGATATCGGCATTCCAGATGCTACTGGTCGTTTAGAGGTCTTGCGTATACATACTAAGAACATGAAACTTGCTGAGGAAGTTGATTTAGAACAAGTAAAAATAATTGAATAAAATTTAAATTATGAAAACATATTTTTATTAACTTAACACAATATAATTTAATGTTACCAACAGATTGCTGCTGAAACTCATGGTCATGTTGGTGCTGATCTTGCCTCATTGTGTTCTGAAGCTGCCCTGCAACAAATCCGTGAAAAAATGGACTTGATAGATTTAGAAGATGATCAAATTGATGCTGAAGTATTGAATTCATTAGCTGTCACCATGGAAAACTTTAGGGTAAATTTAACTTACTTCCATTACATTTTTCTGAAGTCAAAATTTACACTTGTATTATTTATTTAGTATGCCATGGGTAAGAGTAGCCCAAGTGCTTTAAGAGAAACAATAGTTGAAGTTCCAAATATTACATGGGAAGATATTGGAGGTTTGTCTAATGTGAAGCGTGAATTACAAGAACTTGTTCAAGTATGTTATAATATAAGTTTTAAATAATAGTATATTAATTTTATTGTATTGTTCTATTTGTATAGTATCCAGTCGAACACCCAGACAAGTTTTTGAAATTTGGTATGCAACCATCCAGAGGTGTTCTATTTTACGGACCTCCGGGTTGTGGTAAAACTTTATTAGCAAAAGCCATTGCTAATGAATGTCAAGCTAACTTTATATCCGTTAAGGGTCCTGAACTGTTAACTATGTGGTTTGGTGAATCTGAAGCTAATGTCCGTGATATCTTTGATAAGGTAAGTACATTGATATGTAATAACCTTTTTTTCTTTATCGACCCTTAACAATTAACTTGTTCAGGCAAGAGCTGCTGCTCCATGTGTACTCTTTTTCGATGAGTTAGACTCCATTGCTAAATCTAGAGGAGGAAATGTTGGCGATGCTGGTGGTGCAGCAGATCGAGTAATCAACCAGATTTTAACTGAAATGGATGGTATGGGCGCTAAAAAGAATGTATTCATAATTGGTGCTACTAACAGACCTGGTAAGCTTTAGGCTTTTTTATAATCACAGCACAAAAATATGACTAAATGTTGATGTTTGTTCTAGATATCATTGATCCTGCTATTCTTCGTCCAGGACGTTTAGATCAATTGATCTACATTCCTTTACCTGATGAAAAATCACGCGAAGCCATTTTCAAGGCTAATTTGAGAAAATCTCCTGTTGCCAAAGTAATTTATCATATTATTTATTTATTACAATTATCTAATAAATACCATATTTTATATTAGGATGTCGACCTCAATTACATTGCAAAAGTTACTCATGGTTATTCTGGTGCTGACTTAACTGAAGTATGTCAGCGTGCCTGCAAACTTGCGATTAGGCAAAGTATTGAAGCAGAAATAAGACGTGAGCGTGAAGCAGCGACAAACCAAGGAATGGAGGTATTGAAATATTTAAAATTAATTTATAAATGTATTCAGTGTGATATATAATTTAAATTAATGTTTAGACTGATGTTGCTGAGGATGATCCTGTCCCAGAAATTACAAAAGCTCACTTCGAAGAAGCTATGTTATATGCCCGTCGTTCTGTAACTGACAACGACATACGCAAATACGAGATGTTTTCTCAAACTTTACAACAGTCACGTGGTTTTGGCACCAATTTCAGGTTCCCGACAACGACAGGCACACCAGCTGCCAATAGTGCAACAACTGGCGGTGATCAAGCCACATTCCAAGATGATGGTGATGATGACTTGTACAATTAAGCCTGTTCTCCCTTCCCTCAAATAATAGATTTAATGTATATTCGAAGATTTAAGAATGATTCAAGCATTTTTTTTTTTTTTTATATATATTTAAAATAAAATAAAGAAATTTAATACACATATGATTGATAAATAATTAAGTTTATTAAATTTTTCTAATGTTTGTACACGGTTATACAGTAATATAGGAAAAAAAATGGTGGGATACAAAAAAAAAATGTTATATCGGATTTTTTTTTATAATTATTATTTATTTTTTCTTTTATAAGAATTATTATTAATAAAATTTAAACAAAATACAAACACAAATTAAAAGGAATAGTATTGCTTTTAGTCAGTTAACTTGAGATCGTATGTGTCCATGATTGCAGCCATAATATTCCAAAGTGTTACCTTGTCCAAATCTTCAACCAATGCCTTGAAAAAATGTAAAATCATAAACATAGTTTATAAATACTAAAACATTAAATTATTGACATAGTATAGATGATTCACATATTATATAAGCATGTCTTTACATCATGAATTTAATTTCATTAATTTTTAGTAAGACATAAAATATGTGAACCTTTATTTTTTTAAATATATTTAAAACCATACTTTTTCTCAAACTTTAACAACTTTATCTTTTGGAACGTTCAAGGATAATAAAACATTTTTAAGCAATATCCTAAGACGTCCTAAATATTAACACATTTTTTCAAACACAAAATTAACCAAATGTCCTTAAATTAAATGACCCTGTATAATATGTCAACAGTATGTTCTATAGTAATTAAAATATGACTAAACATCAATAGCCCTGCTATGTTGAAACAGACAGTAGAGGCATATCACTTCAAAATGATTGGTATCCTTTTAAAAATCAGCTAAAATATACACATCAATTAATTGTTCTCAAATTCCAATGATCTTTCATACATTTAATTTTTGCTCATATTTTGTAGACAATATAATAAGGTTTTTTGGCAAATAATTGCTAAAACGAAAAAAATTTTAACTAATTCAAAAACATTCTTTGAAATGAGAACGATTAAATAACAGCAAAACAGTAAAAAGTAAAAACATACCTGATACCATGGTTGAATTTCATAATCAATTATTTGAGATGGAATGCCATAAACTTTGATCGCTAGTTCAATACAAGCAATTGCAATATGCTGTGCTTTATACTGGAGAATATCACTATTATGATAAAAATCCTAAAAAAAAAAAAAATAATTAATATTTTTAAATTTTTTATTAATATAAGATCAGCAAAAGTGAGTTGAGAGTATATAATATAGCAAAACTATTAAAAGTAAAAAGTGTTAGATAATTTAAAAAAATAGAACGTACGTGTAAGAAATCATATGCTTTTTTAAATACAATGATATCCTTCCCATGTTTGGAATAGAAAACTGGACGTAGAGTTTGAACGTAGTGCAAAAAATACTGTAAAAATAATAAACTTGTTATACATCAATTACATAAAAAGACCAAAATAAGAACACCAGTTATCCAGTATAATCAAACTGACAACAGCCTACATCACAGTTACATGAAATTTATTTATGTTTTAAAGATTTTCTAGAAAAATGTATGGAATATTTGAACGGTAACAAAAAATATGCCTTGAAGCTTGTGAAAATTATGCATTCTTCCATATTATATGTACTTTTCTAAATTAAGATTATGAATGTTTAAATATGTAAATAACTAAACGTAACAATTTTTATTCGGAATTCATAATATTATATCATATTCAGTTCACCAGAATGAGTATTGATAGAATAGTCCAAAATATCTAGTCAATGATTGAGAATTATGTAGTAATGTATGGTCTAGTTTTGATTATTTAATTATTGATACCTACAATTTTGCATAACAAACAATATTTATAATTGAATAATTTTACGAACTATAAATTAATTTATATGAATCATTGTTCAAAATATTACATATATTGTCTAAAAATCATTAAAAATAAGGGTAAATACTTCTTATATTACACCAATTAAAATAACAAATGTAACCATACTACAATCTATGGTCATCTAATCATTAAACTATGTGGCTAAATGAATTATCTCTTTATTCTAGTGTTTATGAAAAAGAACTATGCTCATGAAATACAAGTAGTTTAATAAGTTTGAAATTACGTTGTGTGGATGATTAAAAGTTGTGTCAAATTGCAATATTCTCATGATTAACATTTCAGCGTGCACAATGGAGTCCCGGAAGTTCCAATAATCTTCAGCTAAACGCAATGGAGCCGCATCTCTATGTAATGTGTGATAACACACATTTATCAAATCCCGAAGTCTGGCGGTTTCATCATGTACTTTACTAGCCAAATATAAAGTTGCACTAGCTATAGACTGTAAACATATATATCATATTGAAATCACAATATTACAATATTTAAATGTTTGTATAAGTTGGTGTGTTTTAATAGATTTTATCTATTGTTTTACGCTGACGCTCACCAAAATAACTGACACATGATACTAAAAGTAATTTTTAATTAGTAACAAGATATTCAAAAAATTCTACCCATAACGATATTCAAAATTATATTATTGTGCCCACCAATTTAACATCTCAGTATAATAAAATTTATTTATATATTATTTTTTACCAATATTAATACTGTATGTACAACTTTTTATTATGTATAGTATTAATCACAATTTCATCTTAAACACACTTGTAATAATTGCTATGTTTAGTATTTATTTATTATTGAAGAATAGTTGTACTTCATCTTGGTAAGTATTTAATACAAAATTACAAAATTAATTAAGTTTTTGCGCCAATCAAATGAACCCTATATTTTGGAATGAAAGATACTTGATTATGATCTAAAAAATGAATAAATTTCATAGCAACGAGTATATTAAAATACCAAATGACAATAGAAATAATTAATAAAAACCATATGCTTTTACAATCATATCATTTTAGTGGGAGTATACTATTACTTGTCATTTACTTATCATATATTACATATTAATAGACACACAAATACATTAGATATAAAATAGATATTTTGAGATTTGTAACATACTATACAAACAAAATTTACATTTATCTAAACCATTTGTAGCAGTTCAAAATTAAGTAATTTTTTTTTTTTGTTATAGACACTTGTTTTAAATTTCAGATTAAATCCTTAATGTTTTCATTCAATAATGCATTAATGACCAGATTAAAAAATAATTTGTTACCAGACAAAATACAATTGTATGATGCCATGTTTTAACAAGATATATACTTACATAATTACATTAAAAAAGAATGCTGAAAATATTATTAATACCACCAAGAGTTATCAGTATTAATAATAATTACACTTACGTTTGGTGCCTCAAATCATATATAGTGTCGTAACAAGAATTTTACGCAGTTCAATAAATGTGATAATGCAGATGGAAACAAACAGTTTTACTCTTATAAATATTTTGTATATTATGCTGCATTAAACCAAAAAACCCGTTAAACAACAAGTTCAGATTATAGGTATACAAGTTTTTTATTTCTAATTTTTTTTATGTATAAATATAAAAAAATCTGTAAAATAAATACAAACTATCATTCATATACAAAATGCAAAGCCTACCAATAATGTCATCATATTTTCAATGGTAAATTTAAAAACAATTACAATACACTTCATATTTTTATTTTGTATTTTTAGTGTGAACTATTATAATTAATATAATGAAATAGGTTTATTAATTTTAATTGTATTTTTTTATATATTTAGTTTATTAACATTTAACTCATACTATTAATCATACCATCTGTATTTATATTTATTATACTTGAAAAATAAATGTATGCAAATTAAAAATTTATAAATATTGTATGCAAATGCCAATAACAAGTAAAATATTAATGTTTGTCTATACTAGAAATTGTTTTTTTTTTTTTATATATATTTATGAATATATTGTATATATCTGTATTTGTTTATATATGGTTAAAATACGTATGTTATAATGTTTATAAACATACTTAAAAACTGATCAATTATAATCGTCTCATAATTAGTTAAATGCAATTCTATATTTAGTGATTATTAATTATTGATTTAAAATAAAAAATGTATTAGCCATAGTCATTCAATATGTTGTGACTTATGACTATCTGTTTCCTAGACAACTATTTTTCATAGTAATATAAAACAAATTATTTTAAAACTTTAATATATAAAAAAAAAAAAAAACACTGGAAACTATTGATATATTATTAATGTATAGGTAATAAATTTGAAAAAATTAAACTTAATTAATAATTGAAACGATGAAGATTTAAATTTATTTACACTCTAATAGTTGATATAACAAATTTCCTATGGGTTTTATCAAATAATTATAAACATAATAATACAATTAAAAGCCTACTACGCATTTATAAAAACAGTGAACTAAAAAATCATAAATCATAATTTAGTTATTTTCTATTTACTATAATAACTTATAAACAATAAAATACAAATAAAAATATGAAATATAAAATAAACAATTTATGACTAATATTTAAACTTTATTTATGTATTGCTTACACAAATTAAAATCAAATACAGAACTATAATTTAGATTTAATTCATGTTGGCACGGTAAAATTTGAATTTTAATATTTTTAAAACTGTTAATAACATGAAATAATATACAGGGGTGTTTCACGGTGAACTGACAATTGCAATAACTTTTGTTTTATTGAACATTTACAACTTCTTTTTTTATTATTATCAATTGTCATCTGCGCTACATTTAAATTAATTTTTCAACTTTTTTTAAAATTTAGTATGTAAAGTTAAGAAATTAAAAAATTTTCTATTTGATATTTAATAAAATCAAAACAGCCATTTTGATGATACGATTTTTAACACATGTCGGCAAAAAAAAAAAAATAAAAAATGTTCAGCTGTTTATTTTCTATGAAATTCTGAAGTTTGCACAATTTTATATTATTTTAAATAGATTTTCTGGATAATCTATAATCGCTGTAACACTGATGAACAAGAAGTAAATTTGAATATGAGCAAATTATAAAAATTGTTCAAAAATTATTGACTCAACCTAAGTAAAAAGTTTTTTGACCAAAATGTTTCTAAAATTTGGATTTTTTTAAACATCAAATAGAAAACTTATTTTTTTAAATTTTGCATACAATGTTAAAATAAATATATTTTTAAAAATATTTTTAATGTAGCACACACGAGAATTGACAATAAAAAAAAAAAAAAAAAAATTGAAAATGTTTAATAGAACAAGTTATGCAACTGTCAGTTTAACTGGAAACTGTATATCTAATGTATATGTAGCACAAGAGTTTTGGAAAAATACTTTAATTATTAGTAATTAACTTGATAAAAATTTAAAAATTAAATTTTAATTTTAATATATGTAAGAAACTGATTTTAATTTAAATCTTCACCTTCTTAAATATATTTCAATAAATAGAGAATTGATTACTATGGTTTAATAATGTGTATTAATCTTACCATATGAATATTATATTATTTAATTTTACTTATAAAACAATTCAAATGTAATTATAAGTAACAAGGAATAATGATAAAGCTATAACTACTTAATATAATAATTTATTATGTGTATTGTAATCAGTCAAAATATAGATATACCCAATATTGAAAAATATTAAGGTACCTATTTAAAATGAGTACTTACATAATTGTCATATGTGTTTTCATCAACATGTTTATAAAACTTTTGGAAGTAAACTGCAGCTGAGCATATAGTTATATGTTTTAGACCCAGTTTAATACCTATTCATAAAACATAAATAAAATACTGCATACTTCAAATATATAAATAAAAAATGTTTAACTGTACCGCATTCAAATATAAACCGAACAGCAATGTAATTTGATTTGTGAACCAAATAGTCAGTAAGAGGTGCCTCTGGTTTTTTAAATTTGTCTTGGCTCTCTGAACGCTGTTTTGTCCGATACTTCGGTTTGGAAATGTTTTTGTTTTTCTTATGAGATTTTACTTTCTGCTTGTGAGTCTTCGTCTTGCTTTTAGTAATACTCTTCATTTTTGGTGCTTTTTTACCCATAGTGTTTTAACTTTAATAACTTAACTTCAACACTTTTCTATAAATCAACAACACGCATAATAAAGTACACTTAATTGTAGGTATTATTAAACGCCAGTATAAATCAATAGAATGAAGGTATGCTTGTTTAGGCCTGACTAACTACATTTGAATATTACCCAAGGAAAATATTAAAATTCGAAAAATATAATAAATTACGTTAAGCGCATAACAAACAACTATTAATTTGACAGACGATACACAATAATAAAAAATGTTAAATTAGTATTAACTTTATAGTATATACATCAACTAAGTATACGCGCATACGCCATACGGCATTACGGCAATACAGCATACCATGGCATACAGTACCGAATTTGTATATTTATCTATAATGTGATGAGTGGTAACTCTGATCAGTATTTGAGGTTATATTCATAAAGATTTTGGCGGAAACTTAAATGAATATACAATTTTTATCAATAAAAAAATGTACAGAAAAAATATTGAAAACATATATTTTTATTTTAACAATAATTTATGAGAAGTCAATAAACAAAAGAAAAAAAAATCCAAAGGAAATATTGTGACATTCTTATTCTCCCCGTGTACAGGCCATGTTATACGACATACAAATATAATTTATACTTTTACCTAGGTAATCTTCAAAAGTTGCTCAAACATTAAACAATTAGATCAAAATACCTCCCTACATATTCATCAAAATATCTACCTACACGGCTACACATCCGCTTAAATGTGTTGTCGATTTCCTACTGAAATCCAACCCACAAGGTTGTATATTTATTATAACGATCAAACGATAACTACCATCACGATGGCACGATCTAATAAAACAATATAGCAGCCATTCAGCCATCAGCATTGATAATAATAAGATAATAATAAATAATGTGAAAGTATTTTTATTCTAAAATAGATATTCACTTGGGCAAACAGATATAATATAAAAATAATCCCATAAATTATTCTTATAACAACTGACAATGATAAAACACAAAAATAGATAATACCTATACTATTATTATTTTAGTGTACACAATTGAATATTGATACGAAATTACGGAATAAAAATTATCATGAAAAATGCCATTTCACAGTATGGAAGTGGTCATGAGTCATAACTTGGACCAATGGTTAAATTACACGCTAATAATATGTTCTAAATTTTAACAAAATATCGCACAATCGGCCCAAAGCTGCGTTATTTTTATGATTAAAGATAATTTGGTATTTCTAAATTTGATTGAATTTATGACGTATATATTAATATGTCTGTGGACTGTGGTTTGTGGCAGACAAAACCACAAATATTATAATATGAATATTATAAAATATATTTGATTTAGTTTATGAAAAAACTGAAACAAATAGATATAATCTGACGTACTTAACCTAAAGTATCCTGTATACACTTTAATCGAATGTAATTGATTTAATTTATTCAGAATAAATATTGTTAAAACTAATATATTATTAAAATAAAAAAAAAAAATTGAGAATTAGGTATAATCACTTGGCTTCACAGTAGGTGTCAGTGTCATCATTCGTCATCATTGAGAAAGCTATAAGTCACTGTAATGAATGTAATGAAATGGCGCACAGAAGATTTTTCAGAGCCCGTAATGTACCTAATTTAACATTTAACAAAAATATGCTCACACTTTTTTTTTTTTTTGCAAACAAAATTATGCAAATGTGCTTGTCAATATTATACTTATGAAATATTTATTTAAAAATATATCAAAAATTAAATATTTCAGAATACCTCTTAGTAGTATAATTATACGTTAGGTTAAGTTTCAAATTATGAAAATAAAAAAGATACCTATGTATTTTTAATTTAACTGAATATCTTTACAAATAACGTATTTGGAAATTTGTGTTTAATATTACATACCTATTAATTTGCGGATATAACAAAGAGATCGTGTCAAACAATTTTTTTTTCATAAATAAATTCATCACTTGCCGTGTAGATAGGTGATATAACCCGCGTGAAAAATGTGTTACCGTGTTGCCTATATCTTTCGCCGTTCCTGAAAAAGATTTAGTCATAAACCTGATAACTATTGTAGAAACGCTAGAATTTATCGAGTAGTTGGTTAAACTGTACGTTTACAAATATCGTGCAATGAAAATCATTTTAAATCACTCCCACTACTTAATAAGTAATAAATACAATTTGAGGTTAAGTGTTGTGGCGACCAATGCCATAATATTAAATACTCTCTTTTTATTTTATAGTTAGGACTCCGGTTCATCCATTTTCTATCGGACTCCGATTCCGTCATCTCGAGTTGTTCAGTCGGCTGAATTCTTTTTCCCTATTTTTTTTTCTTAATTAAATTCCTTTTAAACCGTTCACTTACATCTGAATAACAATGCCACCTAAATTCGATCCAAGTGAAATCAAAGAAGGTAACGTATTCTTTTTCTAATAATTCTTATAAAACACGTGATAAATTCATACTGAAATTTCCACGTTTTTAATTTGAACTTATGGCACTATTGTCGTTACTTATACTTATTACTAAATGATTCTTTCGTTATTTAAAAATTATTAAAGCCTATACATATGTGCTTAATTTAATTTAAACATTATTTTTGGAGATTGAATTTTATGATTTATTTTTACCTTATTTGTATGCAATATCTTGTTTATTTACCTTATAACTATTTTTATTTTTTGTTTATAGTGTACATGCGATGTGTTGGAGGAGAAGTTGGTGCTACATCTTCTCTTGCTCCCAAAATTGGTCCATTGGGTTTGGTGAGTTTTTAGAATCACTTAATCTTTTACTATAGTTGATTTATACAGAATTTTCTGAATTATAAAGTATGTATTCATCTTTTAGTCTCCCAAGAAAGTCGGTGATGATATTGCTAAGGCTACATCTGACTGGAAAGGTTTGAAAATTACTGTTAAATTGACTATTCAAAACAGAGTAGCTACGATTTCTGTTGTTCCTTCAGCATCATCATTGGTAATCAAAGCTCTTAAAGAACCACCTCGTGATAGAAAGAAGGTTAAAAATGGTATGTATTTCACCACGTTATTGTTCACTAGTAAATTGACTCAATCGACTATTGTTCCTCATGTCAGTTTTAATGACTTACATGATTTTAACAAACTGTCGTATATCAAAATTATATCACGAGTTGCTTCACCCAGAACTACCGAGTGTCATTGTCTGGTTTTGCGGACTCAAACAAAATAATCTTACAAATTTAAATTGAATTTGTGTAAACTAGTTATTTTTTGAATTACCACATATTTTGGTTATTTATTTTACTGTTAAACACAATGGTAATGTAACTTTGGATGAAATCATCAATATCAGTAGAACAATGAGGCCAAGATCAATGGCCAGAACATTGGCTGGAACCGTAAAAGAAATTTTAGGATCAGCTCAGGTATTGTTTATTATAATATAAAAGCTATGCTTGTATTTATTTAATACAAGTTTTATTTGTTCTTAGAGTGTTGGATGTACTGTTGATGGAAAAAATCCTCATGATATCATCGAAGGAATTGATGATGGGGCAATAGTTGTTCCGGAAGAATAAAAGTAGTGAGTATTTTTCCACTGAAGCTCAAATCCTAAAATATATATTTAATTTAGGATTTGAGTTCAGTGGTTTATTTGGTAGGGGTTAGCATCCCATCCACCACCCTCAGCAGTTTTTCAATAAGCATTAAATTTTTTATAAATGTGTTATAAACAGATATTATTTTCATTTATTTCAAGCTAACCAATATTAACATCGACTGAATGATTATTTTTTGTCTGGATTTTCTATCATATTGAATAGTTAATTATAACTATGTGTGTGTGTGTACAAAATATTTCTTAAAATTAAAGTAATAGTTACTTTAATATTATGTTTAAGTAGGTGCCAGAAGTAATCTAACTTACTGTTGTTTATTTCAATCTCAAATTTTTCCAATTCATTTGATATTTATATAAAAAAAAAAAAAATGCTAATTATTCATCTTATTAAGGAAAATGCCACTCATGATACTTGGTGTATATATTTAATTTTAGTTACAAATTAATAATTATTAATATATGTTTTTTGTTCTTGAAGATATATTTGTTTATATTCGTTTAAGTTTTTTGGTGCTTATTGAATTTAAATCAAATTGTATTAAACATTTTCCATTGAAACTTAACAACATTTACCAGTTGATAATTTTATAAATTGAATGACAGTATTTATGTAACTGCTTTTGGGTGGCATAAACGCTACTGAGGAGACAACCTCAATAAAATAATCACATTATTTGTTTCAAATTTAAATATAATTTTTGATCTTGTATATATATGAAGTAGATACTGTGTTGTTCTGTTAAGTTTGATGTTAAATGTGTTAACACTAAGTAATAATTAGAATTAAGGTTTAATATGTTTAAAAACTTTTCTTTCAGATTCTTGTTTGTGCAATTGATGGTCAAATAAAGTACTTTAATTCTTTCAACTTAATACTTTGTTGTTTTTTTTGTGTATATTATGTGTACTAAAAATATCCTGATTTATCCATTATATATTCAATATATACTTTATATAGGAATGTTATATTTTGTTGTCTGTTCCGTGATTGGTTGCATATTTGGAAAACATCAAGAACTGTTAAAGTATGTCTATTATCGGTGATACATTAAAGTCATGGCTAATTCAATAGTCATAAAACTAATACTATTAATTGGTGTCTATTTCAAAATATTGTGATCTAGTCCTAGTAAAACAATATGATTTGCTTGTTTTGACTACTTAAAAACTTAAAAATTCATATGTAACTGATACCCATGAAATATTTGTTCAAACTGCTATTAGAATAAACAGAATGTTTGTCTCAAAATGTCATTGTGACAAAAATATTTAAAAAATGAACCAATATTTAATCTTGTTTTCTACAATTATTTAATAATAAGATATTTTATCTATAAAACGTGCTACTTTAAATTCAGCAGTCCCCATTAAACCATGGTTCTGTAGTCGTGTTCATTTAGGCTTTTTTTTTCCTCTCCTATCTTTTAACTTTTTAAAAGTTCTATATTCCATCTTCAGTCGATTTAAAGAAAAACCATATTTTCTTAGTAGATAAGATAAGGTTTTCGGAAATTTTTATCCATGATGAACCTATTACATAAATAATATAAACAGTTTCATCCATTATATCTATTCTATAGACAATCATATGGGTAACAATCAATAATTTGACCATCTCTGAAAATTTGTTTCATTATAATTGGTTAGCAGTGACATGGTGTGTGTATTTAAAAGGATGTGAACAGTTATTTTTTTCAAGCGATTGAATTCTATACCCAATTATTGTAAATTACAGAAACACAAATTTTATCCTTTTAACGACGTGTTATAAATTCAAGATAGCAAAGAATTTAAATATCTATATAATGAATGACGGCATGGATAAGAAAAAGCGACTACAATGTATCGAACTATATAAGTACTGGTCGTTTCTCTCTTAAATAAAATCAAATCTGCTTACAAACGTAAGCAATTTTAAACTGTTACACTGCAGTGCCACTTAGTGCGATCAGATTATGATTTGCCAATAACATAATAGATTAAAAATAGACCGTGAATTTATGGTTTTCCATAAGTGGTGTTGTAATCAATGGACAGCGTATGACACCAACAAAACGAGAATAAAAACCATCATCTAAATAAATAAAAATAAAATTATAAAATCATTTTTCATGTACTGTTAAATTATAAAGAAATTTTTCCTTTTAATTTTTAAGTGTAAGCAATGCTTACATGTACGCTACCTACGCCCCTACTGGTTAGTGGGGTTTTATAAAAAAAATTTGACAAGTTACATCAGCAGCAAATAACGTAATGAAATCCAATATTTCTGAATTCTTCTCAATGATAATGTAATTATACCAGCATATGTAAAATTAACATAAATAAACGTTGAGTAATATGAACTTACTACTTATGATGATTAAATAATAAATTAGAAACTTGATTATTAAATTTTTCAGAATGAAGAAGTAGGAAAATAAATGCTAAACATTTTTGTTAACATTATAAACATCATATCATTAGAAATTATAACAAAATAAAAATTTTCAATTTCTAAAAACATATCAAATAATTTATAACTTGAACAATTAGTTTGCTTATTGTTATAATATAATTACATATATAAATAATAAATATACAATAATTATAGTAAAACAACATTTGTCCAGTAGAGCATTTAGGCACAAGAGCCAATATTTTCTTGTAACATGAAAATATCTATTAATAAAATATACAGTATATGTATAAATAGAACTACAAGTTTTGGCGCACATATTAAATAACAAGGAGGAATATATATATAAAAAAAAAAAAAAAAAAATTAAAAAATTGCATTCAAATAAACCAGAAAGTTGTTCAATTTATTAACAAAAATTGTATGTTAAATTCTATGTACAAAATAAAACCTAAATTATTTATTTTGGGAATATTTATTAATATCTTCAAACAATGAAGATGTTAGAAAAAAAAAAGAACAAGATTAAGAAAACACATAATATATCTTATAAATATAATATATTATGTATAAATAATAAAAAAAAAAATATATTAGACGAAATAAAAGTCCAAATATAATTTTGAACCAATTCAACTACTCACGGTAGTGTATCACACAAAACAGCTTTCATTGCAGGTGAAATTGTTTCGGGAAATTTAATATCAAATGATACTAATAAATCCCCTTTTCTTGATTGTTCTTTAGCATATGGGAGACCATAACCTTGAAATCGTTTGACAGTTGATGGTTTTACAACTTCTGATTTTAGGTTAAGAGGTAATTTTTTATCTGTTAAAGTAGGAACTACAACGTCTACGCCACATAGTGCCTAAAAATAAAATAATTATTATATTTTAAATATTAAAAAAAAAAAAATTAAAAAATTATTACTTGTTTAAGAGTTATTGGAACTGTATATCTAATATCATTTCCATCACGTTTAAAAATTGGATGAGGTTTGTCTCTTATTACAAAAACAATGTCTGAAGGTATTCTGTTCATTGCTTGATCTCCTTCTTTTTGAAATGTTATTTTAGTACCTGCTTTCCAACCAGGTTTTATATTGATTGTTAACACTTTATCTTCTTTTCTAGAAGTTCCATCTGCTTGGAGCACTCTTCTAGAGATTTTCATTTTTTTTGTACACCCTCTACTTATATCCTCTAATGACACATATACTTCATGTTCAATAGCTGGGTCTTGAGCTTTTTCTTTAGATCGTCCCATAGGTGAACCATGAACATTGAATGACTGTGACCTAAAAGCTCCCATGCCAGGTGGACCATGTGACATTCGAATAAAACCATCATCAAAGTCCATTTCATCATCAAACATTGAACCACTATTACCAAATATATTGCCAAATGGATTTGTCGAGCCAAAGAACTGTGCAAATGTTGCTCTAGGATCGCCATGGAAAGTATAAGAATAGTTGTTTGAATTATTTCCTTGGCCAGCACCTCCTTTAAGACCATCTTCACCATATTTATCATATATATCACGTTTTTTTTTATCACTTAATACTTCATATGCTTCTGCTACCTCTTTGAATTTTTCTTCAGCTCCAGCACTTTTATTCTTATCTGGATGGTATTTGAGTGCTAATTTTCGATAAGCCTTTTTAATTTCATCGTCTGCTGCTCCTTTTGACACTCCTAGGATTTGATAATAGTCTTTTCCCATCATATGCTAAAATCAAATTGAATTATTATTAAAAATGTCATTGAATTAAAACTTAAGTATAATAATGCTAATACATAAATGATACCAAATAAAATTACTATTTTTAGAAGGAAGTTGGTAAATATAAACACATTTAGTGTTTGATAAGAAAAATAATATTTGTCAGCTTTTAATAAATGGTGTATACGATATACATATTTTATGAAAATTAATCAATATTCCAAGTTAATACTTGTAACAATAATGATTAATGGTTTAAAAATACACATTTTAACAACTATTTGTTTGTTTGTTACGAAACAAAAATAGGATAGACCTTACTTCTTGTCCATTAATAAATCAATAATTGTAATAAATAGGTACACATAAATTATAACATATTAATCTGAATTAATATCTATTTTTATTAATTTTGTTCTATTTAAGTTGTTGTTAATTTTAATTAAAAAAGGCATGTTTTAAGTTACAACTTATAAATATAAATATCAGTTAAATAAAAAACAAAAAAAAATTATTTATAATTCTATAAAATTTCTACTTAGTAAAATAAAAATAGATATTAAATTTGATATTATTAATTATATTTAATTTAATTTAAACATCATTAAGTTTAGATAAAGTCATGGTAATTCAGTAATTGAAATTTTTGCTAAATAAAATAAATAATATGCTATATTACTTAGGTATTTTCTTTAATAAAATATTGAATTTAAAAAAAATAATAAATTAAATGTAATTTTTGAATGAATGCTGAAGTGTGTACCATTATCATTAAAGCAGAATTTATTAAATTAACTCCAAACAGGAAAGTAAAACTAAATCAATAGCTACCATTTAGTAAAATAATATCAATTTAATATTATGAGTTCTTAGAAGGATTTCAACAAAGGAAAACCACTACAGTTATAACTTTGAACTTTCTACACTTACATAAATGGATGAAAGATTGTTGATTAATAATTGTCATGATACAATACCATATATGTACCTACTAACAATCTATTTCTTAAATGAAGTAGTTAGGCACACACTCGAATCGAAATCAGAATTAATTTTGTAAAATATGACATCAAATAATTGCAATTATTCGAAAAGATAAAAAATATAAGCCAAACACATGTATATTCTGTATAAATATCCTTTGGCGTTAAATATAGAAAAATTATTTGATAAAATGCATAGCATATTCCATAGAGTACAATAATAATTACGTTATGACCTATGGTTAATCCAATTATTTTTAACGTAGGTGGTAAAAATAAAACAAATTACTTACATTTACAGTAGATTTGGTCGTTTCACGAGTAAATTTCACTTAAAATTTCTACAGGAGTAAAACAATGTGTAGCACGTAACTTCAAAAGACTTATGGTCACTTGTTACGCATTCGTATTTGGAAATATCAATTTCGGAATAGACAGCGTATTGGCGTATAGAACCGAAAGAGTCTATCGAATGGCATTGCACAACAAATACTACTACAACATCCACTAACCCACGGACAGTTGGTAATGTATTTTTTGTATTTTACTGTGTTAAACATAAGTATACACGCGCAGCGTATCAAAATCGGGGGTAGAACATTCTAGAATCCACCAGAAGATCGTGGAAGAACAAATCGACAACTATGGAGGAGAAAAAAACATATCATTCGAATTTTGCCCCGGCACGGTGAAAGTTTCATGATTAAGACTTGGTTTTTATGATTACGGATAGGATATTATGTGATATAGTATAATGTGTTATTTTCATAGACCTTATACTCAGTATAAGGTCTATGGTTATTTTATATAATGTTGTGTATAAAATATCTAAAAGTTCAGTCAACGATAATAATATGATGGAAGATATGCCGGTTACCATGAATTTACGGGACGAGTAGTACTTCTGAGTTCTTACAGCTGATTGCCTATCAGCAATTGATAAGGTGACCTGTGAAACGACTATGCACATAAAGGGCAAAAAAAAATCTGTAGCGCTCCAAACGGTTAAAATGAACGGTATACCCATGATAAAGAGAAAACGAATGTATATCATATTAGGTATCTTCACGGAAAAACGTTTTTTGTGTCTGTATATAATATTGCCTACACTTGGTCCCTTTTCTGCAACAAATAAAATGTGATAACATTGATAAAACGATAACATAAATCATAATCTTCATAGTTCATTGTAAGTATCCACTTAACTGAACTTGTAACTTGTAAGACTAGCAACTATATTTATAAATCTCGGTAATCTCCTAAGACAATTAAGACATCTTGAACGCAAATGTAGCCATGACGTGTTAAACATATGACTTAACCTTTTCCCCACTTGCAAATAAAAATGTTTAATTCAAACTAGATATTATTATAAGTAGTATCATCATTGGATGACTACTTCCGTCAGAGATTTATGTAGGTACTCTTAATAAATATTACCTTCTCGGTCCCATAAGAATAGTTGTTGAAACAGAACTTAGATTTGAATGTGAATATTTTTTTTATCTGACTATTTTATTCATAATGTCAGCACACGTTTATAAACATATTTATACATTTAACAATTAACATTAATACAAATTTAATTATTTATAAAAAATTGAAAATGTATTTATTTTAACAATAGAAGAAAAATTTTTTATGTATTATAATTTTATTTAAGTAGTTTCATCAAGTTGAATTGTACACAAATAATTTTCAATACTATTGGTTAATAAAATAATAGACATTTAAAATATTTAAGAAAATATTATATTATATTTTACAATTTTAAACCAATAAATTTAATAATAATTAAAATTGTATAGGTACACTGTAACATTAAAAGTTTAGATTATTTTTATGCAATTTTAATTATTAGATTATAACCATTAAGCTAAAACTGCACTTCATGTGGCATTAGGGTATTTTCTAAAACAGCAAATTCTTTGTTAATGATAAACTTTGTGTCCTCATTCAGCGTGACGGAAAGAATTATGAAGTCACGTTGTTCTACAAGCTCATCGATTGTAACCAATTTTTCACCGAGATCTTTAGCTAATTTATCATGAATTCAACGTTTTTATTATTCTTATACAGTACCTATATATTTAACTAAATCATATATTACTGACAGGTTGTTCAGGTCTACTGGTATACATAGTAATCGAGAAATGTCAAATGTATTCAAATTTTTTACAATTGATGTTCCAATGTCGTCACACCCAACAATACCAAAAACAGAGTTTTTAATACCTCTACCGCACATCCAAACAAGTGTTTTACATCTTTCCATTCACTTCTAAAAAACAATTATTTAATACTTGTATAGTTATACCCAACTATATTATTTAATGTACATTGTTTTCAATGCTTGATTAGCTTCAAAAAATCGTTTTGTTGTTGATATCAACAGTCCAATATTGTTGTTTCTGCTTCTGTTTCGGTTAAAGTATGTGGCTTGTAACCCAAACTATGCCATATTTTTTCATTGCAGTTAAGTCAACGTGATTATATCACATAGACGTGGTGTCAAAACTTTTAGACTCGGGCTTATAAAATAATAAAAATATTAAATGTATCAATTATTTACACAGCATTGTCAGTATTATTACTACTATTTTATTTGGTTACAATGAATATTTTAACTTACAATTTTAATTAATTCTTCGTCAATTTTGTCTGATGGATAACAAAATATTGCAAATTTTTCAGGTATTGTTTGCATAATTTCTGCTCAAGTAGCTTGCACGGATTCGCATATTCGACATCAATATACGTAAATAGTAAATATATGAGAAAAATTGTTAAGTCAAAAAATTAAAAGTTATCATAAATTGAAAATAATAAATATATAAAATTATAAAATACAAACATAATTTGAATAGAGAATTTGCAGTACAAATTGTTAATAGATCAGCGAAAGTATAATTAGTGCGGTATCGACATAACGCAAACAAACAAAAACAATTTAAAAATATGAATTTATATTTACACAAAAAAATAAATATGTACAAGGAGAAATCTTAGGTTTAGAGTTTATCTCCAAAGTATATCACAAAAATACACGTAAATGATTATGAGTTATGACTATTGTTTTATTAAATTTTTATATTTTTCAAACAATTTTTGTTTTAAGTTTATACTTTTGTATAATATTATGCATTAATATATTGTAAAACTGATATATTTTTACAGTGGTATGAGAGGTATCCTTTTTTATCATATTTTATTAGAGTAACACTATCTTTTATAGGAGATTACATTACATTTGTAAGAGTTTACCATTCCCTGAACTACACGCCGTTGCCGGGTTTAAATATAAAACTGTGTGTAATCTGGCAAGATTTAATATTATTTATTCTATTTAAATAAAATTTAATTAAGATTGCTGAAATAATATTTTAGACATATTAATTAGTTATCAAGACAATTTTATTATTATCATATAATATTCTATTAGTTATAGATTTTGGCCGTAGCTTCGTTTGCGATAAGTTTTAGCAGTGAAGGTTTAAAATAAATTCTTTACAAATAGTTATTCAAAATATTATCTACAAAACATCTTTATAGACAATATTCTTTGCTGATTTTTATGAGTAGGAACCAAAATTACAATCACAAAGTTACTGAGTGAGCTTATGCGTGAGCAAGCTACGTAGAACTGTCTATATGAAAAACAGTTTTTTTACAAGACTATTCCTGCAAATTTGAGAGTCTGGCCTTAAAACTTGTTTATAGTCATTGCAAAGTAGACTCTGAGAGGAAATTGTAATCGTTTAAATTAAAACGGGAGATCGTTCAGAATTAAAGGAATTCGTAGTACAAATACAGATTACCCTTTCGCACATCTAGTTAAAATTATGGATTCTATTATATTGCGATATGAGACTTTGACTTTAAGCCTGGTCCCGTAGTTCAGTTTAGGTGGTTTCAAATTTCGCAACAACATAATATAGGTGTGTCTACATGCAGAATAAGCCTATGATATGGCAATAATATGACATACCTAATGGTTTTAACGAATTTAAAATTTAAATATTCAACAGGATAATTAGTTGCATCGTCTATGTTGACCATTGTGTCTATTGAAGTACCTATATACTTTTTCTTCCTCTACAAACCACAAAAGACGTAAATGTCTACGTCATGAAACAAAACTACTAACCGAATTTCATACTCATAGCTTCAGTGGTTTCGGCTAAGCGAATTTTCTATTTTACACTTTACAACACTTTTAATCCCTTCAGGGCTTAAATTTATAAAAATCCATTCTTAGCGAAAGCCTACGTCATAATCTATATGTCAAATTTCAGCTCAATCCGTCTAATGGTTCAAACTATCTGTTGATAGATCAGTCAGTCAGCTTACTGTTTTGTATATACCTACATATAATTTAAATCGCATACTATAGAATCATATTTCAAACATACAAACGGGGTGAGGCGATTTTGTGTTTTTAAAAAAATTGAATGATATTCATTTTTGTTTATTGATAGTAAATATAACAATTTGTATTTGAGAAACATTTCTTTAAAAATGATTTGTGTGCATTTTATAAATATTTACGTATTAATTAGTGAATATATAGTATAATATAATAAATAATAATTAATATATATTTTTTTACAATATTATTCTACGTTTTTTTAAATCAAGTATTATTTATACTACCAATATTAAATTATTTCCTAATTTATTAATCGTTTGAACATTTAGATCTATCTGGAAATTTGATTTTTTTAACCTGTGGTTTTCAGCATGACGGAAACAATGTTGTAAGACATCGTTACAATCTGAAACAAAATTTAATTTAGTTTTTGTATTCATGCAACAATTAATTATGTAGAAAAGTTATATAATACGTTAGCAAATAATTGTAGGTTAACAATTTTTTTCGGCGAAGCTTTTATCATTAAATTATTGGCATTATTCATCTGCATCGTTAAAAGTAATAACTTTTTAAATTTTACATCCATTCTCGTCCAATCACAAGAATATATCCTAGTGTTAACAGATTGTAACTGCAAAATATGTAAACATGTAACCATTATCAAACCAAGTCAAAGCCTAGTAAATATTAATGATTTACTTTAACATTCATATTGTCAAATAAATAACAATATAAAAATAAGTGTACGCATGTATACGAAGTTGATGATCCAAGCTTGATAATGTCGAGAATTGAATGTGATTCCTTTGAGAAGCTAACCTTTTTACATAATATTTCAATCGTATTAAAACTAACGATTATATTAAGTATCATCTACACAAGCTGAATTTTTTAACAATAAATCGTTGATCGTTATTTAAAAATTTATTACATTTTTTGTATATTGATAAATTTAAAATCTATGCAATTTCTAATATATTTTATTTTATTATATTTTTACCTACATATACTTATTCAAAGGGTTAATAAATTTGTATGTATATGGCTATTTTTTTTTTAAATTTTAATCTGAAACAATATTTTTTTATGAAAATATCTAGTTACAAATATAAAATATTAAATATTATTTTATAAATTCAATATATTTTTTTATTATTTGTATGGATTTGAATTTTAGATAATAGATACTCAAACCCAAGTGATAATAGTTGCGAGATTTTTGTTACATTAATCTACATAATGCCATAATTTAACTTGAATCCAATTATTTAATAATTTAACCTCTCAAGTTATAAATTATAAATAACTATTCACTCATTATTATACACATTTTATACATTTGTATATTTAAATATGTATCTATCTTAAAGTTAGGAAATTATATATTGTATAGGTAATGGTATTTATAAAAAAAAATATTATTGTTAGTGGTTGGTTAGACTAGTATGGATAAAAAATAATGTTGGAAATATCAAATAATAGAGCTTTATATTTTAATTTCTTTTTTTAAAAGATTAATGCTTTTAGAAATAAAGAGTAATTAATTATGAATATAGAATACATTATACGTATATGAAACTATGAAAGCATTTAATTATTATATTGTATATACGTATTTATACTGTGTACGCATTAAAATACTCATATTAGCTTTATGAATGCATATAGTAAGTTAGCAACAAATAACAATATATATCTTTATTTAATAGATAAATCTATTAAAAAATAGTAGTTATAAATGCAACGACTCAATTAAATTTACTACATCGTCGGTAACATATAAAATAAAAGTTAAAGTAAAAGATATATTCCTACCACGATTAACACATAAGTTAAAATTATGAAACATGTTGACATAATAGCAGCGTATGTTAAAATAACAGAACGAACAACTGAATAAAATAACTTAATTTTCCTGAAAAAAAAAAAAAAATTATTAAAACAACATTACAATAATATTTTATATTTATAATATCTTCGATCAATTAAACATAATTTTATGTTAAATTACTATATATTATTTTAATCAACATAATTATTGTATTTAGTGTTTCATAGATTAAACATGATGAATTAAAAGCTACCTTGTATTTTATTAGTTAAATTGTACATTTGTACGAGATTATTGCGACAAAATTTACACAGGCGATGATGCTATTCAAAAAATATCGGTTTAATTAGAAAAAAAAAGGGTACCTAATGAGAATGTAATATGTAATTAATGAAGAAAATTGAACAGTTACATTTATCACTCATTTCTTTATAATACCAACTTATTATAAAGCATATAAGTATCTATGTTTGTGTAACATTTATAAAATCATAAGATCACATTTAATTTTAGATTTTGAATGAAATTATTATAGTCGTTCTTGGTACAAAGTAGGTATGAATGTACTCGTATGATAACGGTTCTGTATAATATACAATTTAAAGATCACAAAAACTAAGGATAAGTTGATAATTTCATGTCATTTATTATTGACTTGAATAATTTTTATAGATATTTATAACGAATTATTCTTAAAAGATTTAATACATAACATTTTTGCTTTTTCATAATATTTAAAAAAATTTCTCTTTTCTACCTTTTTTAATTTGAGTTTATCTTTTATATATATATGTCTACATATACAATGTGAAATTTTAATTCAATAATTATAGTAATCGATAATTTTCCATATTTATTAAAACGTGGTATTAATACTTACAGATTAAGTCGTATTTGATCGACCAAAATTGATTTAAAATCTTCATAATACACTGTAATTATAATTATTAAATATTTTCATCAAAAAATTAAAGTTTTTTTTTTTATTTATAAGCAATTATTATATTTATTAGTTTATAATTAGTCGACATTTAGTGTTTATATATTATTTAAAAAAATTAAATAGCCAAAGTATCTGATATTTTTAACTGATTCAGTTTAATACAAATTTTTCATGTATTTATTATTTTCTTTAAATATATATAATCGATTTTACATTGTTAATTTTGATTTCTGAGGTGATCAAATGATGTATTATGATTTATTTATGATGTTAGTGTAAATTCTAACACGCTCATATCTTAAAACTATAGTCATTTCCCTTAAATAGTGAATATGCACTGGGACATCAATTAAAGTTAACAAATGAAGTAAAATAAATTGACAAATTTTATGATAGGTATTATTATTATTATTATCGCGGAAGCACTTAACTCAATGTACATGGTGTTATGTAATAAAATGCCGTTGGACAGATTTAGCCATATACGTTTCGTATAATATACCTATAAGAGATATATTTAAAAAAAATAAAACCCGAAATAAATTATACGATAAAAAATTATAGTAAAAAATTACATTGACCAATGTATAATAAATAATTACTACGATATTATAATAAGAGACTCGCGTTAAAATATTAAATGCTGTATTAAAATAAATTTTTGAAATTAAATTATTTATGACACTTGTCTTTTCAATAAACATTTTATTATTTCAAAAAAATATTACTTTTTTGTGAGTTGTCTTCGAGTCCGATTTTTCTGAACGCTTGACTAAGGACTTCCTGTTGAGCAATTATACTCCAACACCAAGACATTAACAATATGTCTGACAAAATCATTACGTACGCAACAAATACTGATATTACTAATTCCGTCAAATAAAGTATGAAATAATATTGATTGTAAGTGTGGATAGATATAGGAAAACGTAAGTTCAAAATGTTCTGTTGACGGATATTTTCGTCTTCGGGTGATGTGAACGCACTTCTTACGAGAGCAAATAGTATCCACTGTGACATCACTATTAGCGAGAATAGGGAAAAGTGATTGGTGATTTTAATCACTCTGTCTCTATAGCCGCAAAGTATATTTATATTTTTACAACAATCTTTGCTCTTCAAAAAATTAAACCGTGTAACGTTGGACAAGTCATAAATTATTTCAACGTTGCTTAAAAAAATGTAAAACCTCCAAGAACATAAAAAAATACTAATCATAGCGAATATGATTGTAAAATAATCACTGTAACTCAAAGTATCTTCCATTTTGACAAAAAAGCCTAAAGAACTGTAAACAACAATGCAGTTCACAAATACTCCGTAATAAAGCAATAACAGCCGGTAAATCTTTGAACCATTCGGTTTAAATATGTCATAGAACCTGAATCGTTTCATTAATTCAAAGTTAATGACAAAATCTTCAGCTCTCAATTTGTTCATCACGCAGAATTTTATTGATACAATCTGTGAATAATTAAAGCATGTAATATAATTATATAAACTGCGCAATATACAACAATAATTGATAAATGATTAATGATAAAAATCGAAGAAGTCGATTTACTGTAAAGGTAGTAGATTTTGAGTGTACTTTGTAATTGAGTAGGTCACTGTTACGGATATGTTATATGAAAATTAATTAATACATAAATCATTACATAGATACGAAAAACAATTCTTACCGGACTATTGGAGACTGCAGTGCACCTTTATTTTCTATAAGGATATTTTATAATATATCACGAAATACTTAATCTGTAGGTTGAACTAGGTTTTATATATTTTAAAAAATCAAAAAATATGCCTGTAAAACATTAAGTTTTTACTCAAGTTATAAAATAATGGAACATGCTAACAAATAACTTTAAAATTATAGAATATTCTCTAAAACTGTGAAATGTTGAAGTATGTAAAAACATATGCTTTAAATAATATGTTAAGAATTGAAAAGTATACCTCAGAAAACACAAAATTATAATAAAAAATTAATATTTATAATAACTTGTTATATGATACGTTATGAAAAATTCGAAGAGTGTAGAAAGTTTTATTATACCTCAAAAATCGAACATGCACTACTATATGTATCTGAATATTAATATGCATCGATGGTGAAAAAGTGTTACGTATTTATCGTATAAATAAAACTATATTTTATTTAATATTTATAACTATTAAGTTCTTTTTAGTATAATTAAATACAATAATACTCTATATCATTTAATTAAATAGCTGTTGTAGCAGGTACTTATTTTATACGAAAACATCATTTTAGCAAATTTAAGTTTATATTTTCATAAAATTTTCCAATATTTTATAATAATCCAGTTATTATTTTGATATATAACTTTATATAATTATATGACAAGCTATTTATTAATTATCTATAATATTTGTGATATTTTGAACTAAAAACAAACGAATATTGCATTGTTGACCGTTAAAATTGTTATCGAATAAATTTATAATAATGTAAGACTTACAAATAAAACCAAGTTTATTTAACATATAATATTTAGTTGTATTTAATTACTTTTAGACCAATTAATGATATTATTTAAGTACGAATTTAAATACGTGTCGGTATAATTAAAGAAGTAAAGATAAAAAATGTATAAATATTTGTAATTTATTAAGTATATATTTGTATAGTAAGATTACCATTTACCAACAAAGGTATATATTAGTAATATTGGTAATACAAATGTTAGGATAATAAAAAAAAAACATTTTAAAGATTAAAAAGTATCGATACTATTCCTTAGATACTTAAAAATATTCTCTAAGGTCTAAAGAAAAATTGGATAATCAGTACAAGAGTTGACCGAACACTTTTATCAAGACTATTTTCCATATTACCATATTACTCTATGTCCATAACTTAAGAGTGAAGATCACAGTTTATTAATCCGCGTACTTTTAGACTTAAATATAAATTCTTCTTTGTATTGACTCCATTAAATTCTATACTGTATAGTGGTTGAAAATAAAATTTATTTATATTTATTTTGTAAATTTAATTTAGCGTATTTTGCATAATATTTCTATTTTACTTTTAGAGTGTTTTTTGTTAGTAATTATTAAATTTAACATTTCTAATGTTAAAACCTATAAAGAGTTGAAGATAATGTATAAAAGAAACTAATTACCAAATACCATTGATACTCAATAGATATCTACTACAATAATTGATTTTATACACAAAGTTTATTTTATCCATATCTTTGATTTAATTTATATAATGATACAATTAATGTTCATACGTATTTTAATAAAATTCCAAATAGGTAATATTATCAAATCAATTTTTAATATTATAGTTTTGATAAAACAATTAATACCGTATGTATAACAGTTTATATTAGTTTATACAATTTATTAATTTGTGATTGTTTTGAATTGTATCATTGATACATTGTGTGTCTATAGACATAAAGGGGCTAAAGGGAGTGTGGGTCTGCAGCCCGCATTTTGTTTTTATCTTAAAATATTTTTGGGTGGGTCAAGTCAAATCTTTTGCATTTGAGAACTCTGTTTATCTATGTTTATGGTTATTTATATAAAGTAGGAGGCATTTTCCTGAAAAAATTTAGTCTACCACTACGTGTAGAGACAGTGACAATTTCTTTGACATAAATATAGTGTGGTATTATTTTAATTAATCTGAAACATATTCAAAAATTTTCAATGCATACAAAACCACAAAATAATATATTGTGATAAAGACCAACCGCAAGAGCGCGGGGGATGCACTCAAGGTTTTATGGTTTTTTTTCAAGAGGAGAGGTTAACTTTAAACTTAGAATAATATTACACTAATAAGTTTAAGTATAAACAAAAAAAAAACATTTTAACTTTTTTTATTTTATTAAGTTTTTTTTCAACATTTTAAAAACAAAATAGTTTTAATGTTTCACTGAAATTGATAAGCTATTATATTTTCTTATAGAAATAAGTACCTATGCTCAATAAAATTCCCTATGCATGTTTTTTTTTTCGTGAATAAAAAAAGATTAAAAAAAAATAAAAAGCCAGTCAATTGGGGGTGGTTTGAACCCCAAAATCACCTCCTCTGCACACTCCCGAGGTTAGGTTAAGCTGAGCTAGGGATTATCAATTAATATTTTTTAATGGCCATTTTAATGAAATTCGGAAAGTTTTTGTTGGCCATAAAAAATTAATATATACGTTAATTCCTACTAATAAAAATAAAAATAAAAACTTTATTTAATTCATTATCAAAAATAATAATTTAATAAATAAAATATTATTCATGGACTAAAGATAAAAACCATCCACGGGTTCACAATTTGATAACTTCTGTAATAGTTCAATCTGTGCATTCAATCTCGTATAAAAAAAGTGAATATAAGCGAAATTATTGCGCGATTATAGGATAGACACATAATTGTAATTATATCACGGTGCAGGAATACCTTAATACCCAAATAATTGTAAATTCACGCCGAAGTACCTTCACGAACGGTTTCTTCCTCAAGACACCCAAGCCATTGCACTTATAATTTTTAAAAATATTCATTATGCTTATTGTACATTTTTTTTTAGTATAGATTGTATAATATCCTAAATTAAAAATAAAATAAAAATATTATGATGCGTAACCTTTGTTTACCATATTATATCTATCTATAGACTATAGACAAGCATAGCTATATAGTCGTGACATAAAATAAATTATTATAAGCAGTTGTGGTCTTGTAAGAATTGGGAAGATTAAAATATATTTTGATATTTTGAAATCGTGGGTAGACATATGGATTGAAAAAATATTTTATAGTGAATTCAATGATATTAATCTGGATATTTTTTTGAGAGTTGTTAACTGTTTATGTTACAGAGTTCAGAACTGTACAACAATGTGAATACCTAATTAAAATTAAGTAAACTATTCGTTCTTTACAGTATATAATTGTGCTTAGTGTGAAGTAATCAGATCATTATGTCATGATCATTATCGATTAAATAGATACACATTTATAAATTTATAATACATTTAGTAGTCATCAGTATTAGGTAAATTATTTATTATATTTAATATTAATCTAATAATATTGTATTTGGAATATGTATCATGATAAAAATCACAAATAATTATTTTGATATACGTTTTAATCTATACGTTAAGGAATTATTTTGATTACTTATGTCTGATATATACCATATATAAATAATAATGAAATATTATTTAAATTTTGACGGATATCATAATCACCTAACAAAATAACCAACTAAAAAGTTGGAGCAATCAATTTCAGTTAATTATTTCTTTTTATTTATGTTAAAATTTGGTTATATAATCACTCTTTTTTTTTATATAAATCAAAAATCTATTCGCAATATCAGGATAAATATATTTAATTGACTTTTGATTTATTATAGGTACTTTAAAATAGAATAAATGAAAATAAATTATGTACCATACGAGTGCACGCGTGCTATAAATGCAATTTAATAATAGCCAAATTTAAATTAATATATGTACATGATACACATATATAATACGCATCTATATTATATTATTTAATTTATTTTGTGATGCTACTAAAGTATTATTAATAAAATATGTAAGTTATTCAATATTATCAAAGAAGTTTAAAATAATATATAAATATAATATTATACCTATATGTTATAAATATTTAAAAACGTAGCTACCTATGTATACATTTTAGATTTTTATGATTAGAACATCTTATAATCTCTGATAGTCTGGTATGACAGTTCGTCTGTAAGTTACCAGTACGTAGTTACGTTAAATAATAACTAGTCTTATTTATTATACAAATATTTTAACACTATAGTTGAATAACTAATTATTCTATATTGGTTTTACATTAAAATTAAATTCTTACTAGCCAATATTAAAAAACAGATACCAAAATAATATAAAAGTTACCAAATTCTTTTCAAATGGTACATTATGGAATTATAGTTTATTGTGTTGTATTAAATACGTTTAGAAACTAGAAATGTAACATGCTAACAGAGTAAGATTCCTTAATTATAAATAATTATACACTTATCTTCCAATTTTGATTCAATTAATTTTTCATTATGGATACTGCTGTAATAATATCGGCAGTAAGTACTAACAATATTAATTGTACGTTTTATGAGTTAAATAATATGCTATTGTATTATAATTAATATAATTATATTTGCTATTTGTTATTTATATATTATATAATATGTATTATATTGTGGTCCGACTTAATTACTATATTATTCAATTACTTTTATTTAGACTCGGGTTATAGCTTTATAGTAAGTATTAGCATTTATATAGTATCTATTAACTAAACTTACAAAATATATTTACTTACCCGGATGTAATATTATGTACATTTCGATTAGGATTTTATTTATTTTTTCAAAACATTTTGTTTTCCTTAAAATATTTTATTTATACAACCTTCAAGTTGTTTTGTTGTAATATTATGTATAAACGTAACCTAACACGTAACCGGTATATCGAGAGTGATGTGAGCAAACGTACCTATATGCGTTTAAATCAGAATAAAACATCAACCGACGCGGATTAAAAAAAAAACACAATACAACAAACTACTCTCTCCCCCCACTACCACACAAACCGTGAGCAGAGCAGCTGAACGTGATCTGCTTTTGAGTACGTTTACACGGTGGCGGCAGTGACGTACGATCACTCGCACAACTCCGAACACGGTTCACCGACACCTGCCTATATATTGTGTTGTATACCTATTTCACTCGGCATCGACAAAAATATACTCCAAGGTATTTAATATTTTATTATTATTTAGTTATTGATAATGAATTAGGCATATGCAGGGTATGCGGCATACGCGCGGAAAGGATGATAAAAAAAAAAAAATGCTATTTGAATTTTATTTTGATGATTATTATACACTGTTTATCAAATGAGATAGGTATAGTAAGAGTTTAATATTTTCGATTTTAAGGCTTGAATTTCTATAATATAATACAACTAAGATCAATGGATATCCCGCCGACACTGACGATTAAAGACGATATACCTACCTATACATTGAATATAACCGCATTAACCTATTTGTTTTATGCAGGACCTATTTATTAAAAATATTAATACTTTTAGTTAATAGTTATATTATAGTAAGTAATACTTACAGGATACTTCGTTTTCAAGCAATAATTTATCAAACAAAATAATTATAAAATTTATGGTTTAAGTCAGCGTTTCTCAAACTGTGGGTCGCAACCCACTGGTGGGTCATTGGTCAATTTTTGGTGAGTTGCGAACAGTTTCCAAAAAATGTATGTTAAATTAATTTTAAACAGATTATTATTAATTTGGGTCACGGTACTAAAAAGATTGAGAACCGCTGGTTTAAGTAGTTACTAAGTATATAATTCAGCGTTTTTATGTCAAACCATCAAGTTCTATAGTAATTAATTTATTCATAATAAATTAATAACTATGCCTGTTTTTCTATTAAAATAAAATATTATATATATACATATGATTTTGTATTTTATATTATATATGTATGTATATACATATATATTGTAATTTAAAATATTTTTCAAGTACTTGAACTCTCATATACATATATATATGAGTTAAACACATTACTTGTTCAAATAGTTTTATTTTTGTAGATTTTATCTACAAATTTTTCCATAGAAAATTTATTGACTGAGTTGCTGAGAATATATTCTATTTTTCATTATATGATATATAATTGTATCTTTTATTAAAAATTTAAATATTGAAAAAATGAACTGTAGTCGGTAGATACTATAATCTCTTCAAATATTGATTATTATTTTTATAAATATTAATGTATGCACATTATTATTTTAGAAAATGACGCGATTTATCATGCGTAAAAATTTTAAATAATTTTGTGTAAATTATAAAAATTTGTTAACCCAAGTTAGAGAATTTTAATAAATAAACCAATTTTTAATAACTGTTAAGTGTAGACATATATAATACTTAAAATGTAATTTATGTATATGTATACATTTGTTAAATTATCAATGTCATAACATAATAATCACTATTTAATATAATAATATAATAAGACCGATGATAAATAATATTTTAAAATTAAATAATTATTCGTAAAAGATATATTGGTATTACTTATTTATGTACATTTTATAATTATGAATCAAGTATTTAAGTTAAATTATCACTTTTAATTTTAAGAAATAATATTCTCTTGTAAAATCGTTAATTTATAATGATATACCTAATGAAATTGTTGTTTAAATTTTATGCGTGTTTGTTATTTAAATTAATATTTAAATTTTTTTTAAGCCTTCACAAAGAAAATTAAGTTCTAATCAGTAACATATACATACTTCATATCTCTATTTATAATTATATACTTTATAATATTGTAATAATATAATATTTGCGAGCATTAAAATGTAAATTGAACTATTCTACGTCGTACTTGTATTTATGTTGGAATAATTAAAATACTAAATGAATTAAGGCTATGTAGGTCTTACCTAATATACCCGGTATATCTAAACTAACTTACCACTTAATATTTACATAACAACATGTTCGGGTTTAATACGATATTCTAAGTTAATTTTAAGTTATTCTTGTGTTGGCACTACTATAGCCTATAGATATTGTAATAGAATTTCAGAATTTAAATATTTAAAATACAATAAAATTGTCTGCATTAATTATTATAATGTATTATTAATAGTTATACTAATTAATTTATCATTAAAAGTTCAATTGATTTCTGTTTTGACACGAAGAATTAAATTCTCATTTTCACGTTCCACTAAAGTAGAAAGTATTTATATTAATTCTTCATAAACTTAAACATAGTTCAAGTGATAGGTACGTGTTGTAATGTTTTAATTACATTTCCCGTCTCGTTAGCAGATTTAACGTGACCTTGTGAGAAAAATGTTTACTAGCAATATGTCTCTACTCAGAGTAATACGTGATTATTTAAACCACAAACTTTTACTAGAAGATTTAAAATTAAGTATTAACTGTTGTAACTTATAAGTATAACATAGTTCTCTAAATAAAGTTATTAAAAATATCAAAATATGTGAAACAACTGATAAAACACGATCACACGTATAAATAATATGATATTATCAGTGTAATTAAAATTATGTGTTTATATTTATCATGTTCTTTATTTTAAAAACCAATTAAATACACTAATATACTATTATCGTGCTCATAAATGTGTCAAAATATAATAAAACATAGATGCTTTATTATTTATTATTGTTTATGAGAACAATTTTAATATCTACTATATTATGTAAGATCATTATAAATTCATTTGTCCACATGCATAATTATAATTAAGGAGTTGCACAATTTCAATATCAAAAGCCAAATGAAAATTCTGTGTATAGTAAACAAAACTAGGTACGAATGATGAAACCAAAATATTGCCAGAGGTCAATGTCTTTTCTACATAGATTCAATATTATTTGTTATATTTACCTATTTTGTACACAAATCAATGTATTGTAAACGTACCCCCTATAATTTATTTTCTTAATACATTTATGAATTTTTAAAAATATTTATTTTTTATGAAACAACATTTTTTAAATTATGAATATATTGATTTTACAAAAATGTGTGTGTGTTTTTGTCTATGTATTTGATAAGTAGTTATTGTGGCGTGCGGTGATATTTTATGTTGGGTAAGCGCTAAAATAAAATTTCAAGTTAAAACAAAAAAAAGGTGTTTTATTGATAAAAATTAAAATTAAAATCTAAAATTTATTTATAGATAAAATCCATTTGTCTTTCTTGTTTTAAAAACTCGTTAATAACTTTATCATAAAATTCTGAATGATTTTTTTCCTTTGTGCAGGAGTTCCTTTTCGATTGAAATTAATGATAATGAACTGAGTCTTTCTTGCCCTTGTGTAGATCTTTGATACGATTTGATTAGTTTTAATGCCGAAAAAGAACGTTCAACTGAAGTTGTACTAAGAATAGTTAAAATTAGTTGACCGAGTTTAAATACTTCTTGGAACGCCGATATTAAATCATTCATCTTAATTTTGTTGACTAAATTATATGGATTAGTATTTAAAAATTCTTCAGATGTGTATAATACAATTAATTAATTTCGTAATCTAATAAAATCAAATATTTCTCTGAAATTTGACTGTCGCAAATTTTCTAGAGCAGAATTTGGAAATTCGTTTGTGCAGTTTGAATATTATTTAGGTAAATTAATGATAAAAATTCAAATTTATTTAAAGAACCAAATCGCGCTTGTAAATTTGTCAATATGTTATCAAATATTTCATTAAAAAGTACTTTGTAAAATGTTTTCGGGTCACGAATTTTACGCTGTAGCTCAAAATTGCCTTTATCTAATAATACTGTTTCCCATAAGTTTTTCAAATAGATTTAACCTATAATTTTGCAGTTAACATTTAATTTCTTCAACTTTTTTCACACAGTATAAAATATCTAAACGTTTAGTTTGTAACACTTCATAATATAAAATATCAGTCAAATTAAATATTTTACTAAATATACTATTAGGAAAAAGTATGTTTGTCGACTATCTAAAAAATTGATGAACCCTTGAGATAATACTATCACTTCATTATCCCAACTATTAGAATTATCTAATACGTGTTGAAAAAACTCTATGAAATATGAATTGTATTCGTAAACCGTATTTACTATGCGAGAAGAAAAATTTCATCTAGTCGGGGCATTTTTTGGCATTTTTTTTCTTGTAAAATTAAATAAAGCATGTGTACGTTTAGAAGATTTAGTAGAAAATGATCCCATACCAGTTAGTGTTTGAAAAAAAATCTTACAGTCTTTTATATTTGATGCTGCTTGTGAAAGTACAAGATTTAATGAATGACTAAAACAATGGACAAAAATAATCCTTTTGGGTAGAGCTTCTTTACTTTAGCTTGTAGTCTTCCAACATGACCACTCATAACGGCTGCTTCGTCATAAGTTTTAGCTACTAATTTATGTTTTAATTCATACCTATTAACTATATCAATTACGTGTTTCAATAAACCGTTTGCTGATCTATCAGCACTAACGTCAACAAATGAGATAAAACATTCATGTGCTTCCCCGGTTTTATAATAGACATACCTAAAAGTTGTTGATAATTGAGACAGATTTGTTATGTCTGAAGTTTCATTTAATAATATTGCAACAAAATTATTATTCTTTATTTCTGATTCAATGGACGTTGATATGGTGTTTCTAATTGAGCAAATAAGATCATTTTGAATTCTATTGGATATACCACGGAATATTTTTGATGTTTCTTAATGTACGTTTAAAATAGAATCATAAGATGATAATAAATTTAAACAACTGAGGAAATTTCTCTGATTGAAAGAAT